TTTTTTATTTTTTTGCTTGCCACCAAAAAAACAGAAGAAGAATCGAACTGAGGAGCGAGCAGCGAAGAGAAACTTCAAAAACGTCGTTAACGCTTACCTACCGCGCATTCTGCAATCGAATGCGATTGATCTCACACTATATATATACATATACATATATACGGGTGTAGAGTGGGCTGTCGGGGGCGAGGGGGCAGCCAACCCCAAAGAACCAAGCAGCAGCAAAATGACAATAGCAACAGCAGCCAGAGCCAGAGCTGGAGCTGGAGCTGGAGCCGGAGCCAGAGGACAGGACAGAGTTTCGGGACTGAGCGGACGGCCAAACAGTCGCAGGAAGTGAGCTGAGGCGACTGTCCTCGCGTGTGTCTGGCGGTGGCGGTGGTGGTGGCGGTGGAGGTGGTGGTGCTGCGATGGCATAGGTGACATAGGTGGCAATGACAATCGCGACCGGATGCTTCAAATCAGATATTGTTTTACTTTTGCGCCTTCATTCAGCATTTTGGATTGTCGATTGTCAGCGTGTCTGTGTCGCTGTTTTTGCTTTTTGTGTGCTTTTGTCTCGAGTAGCAGCACCACCAGCACCATCAGCACCACCAGGCAGCTCGCTTGCAATTTGAGGCAAGTTGCGGATTAAATAAATGTGTCGCGACTGCGACTGCGACTGCGACTGCGACTGCATTAAAGCTGTTTCGTGTTGGCTCTCTTGTGGCAGTGATGCTGCCCCGAGTGCTGCTGATGGGGCCACGACTGGCTCTGGCCTGAATGAAGCCTGAGTCGTAGATCTAATCGAATTTAACACCATCGACGTGGCCTGCGCTTGGAATATGTTTATGTTCAGTCGTTGACAAATTCAATTCTCAGTTCTGAGTTCTCAGCTCTCAGTTGGGTGCGCAGCGCTTAATTAAAATACATTGGTTCCACTCCACCAGGAGCTTACAACGGTGTCCGGTGCTCCGGTGCTCAATACCAAATCTATTAGTTGATAAAGTCCGTGCAACGGCCCTAAGCCAATGGGACACGCCGGCAGATGGCCCGGTTATTGTCTCAATTGAAGCAATGGCCATTGCCATCCCAGCAATGGTTCAATCCCATCCCGGCTCAGTGCGGGCCAAAAGCAATGCCAACTTCCGCTTGTCAAGTCAGTCGTCGATGCGTCGTGGAATGTCCCGCCTGGGCTTTGGCTTTCATTCATGAGAGAGCTCCAAATCCCACCGGGAAAATAAGTAAGAAAGAAATGCGGTGTGTGCGATCCGAACCTTTTTTTTTTTTTTTTGTATTCTACGTTTATTTTTTTTTTTTGTCGTGTTGCCTGTTAACAACGCTGCCGGTGCTGCAGCAGACGCCGAAGTGTCAACAAGCCAAATTGACAGCCATTGGCAATGGCAAAACAGAAACGATTTTGGAGATTTGTCATTGATAAGTCGGCCACAGTGCCAAAACTGAAGAGGCCCAAGTCGAAGCCCCAGCCCCAAATGCAAGCAAGTTTTCGTAGAATTCCGTCGTTCCGTCCCGGCGCGGCTCAAAAGGGATGGGATGGAACGGGGTTGGCTGCGGCCAAGGAAAAAGCGAAAAAGAGCTGCTCTCGACAGGATTGCTGTGCTACGGCTGTGCTGCGGCTGTGTGTGGCTTTTCTACTCAACATTTGACTCTTGGCGTGCGGAGCAAATTAATTCACACCTTGCCAATCCATTGTTGGAGCAACAACAGCAGCAGCAGCAGCAGCAACAACAACAACAACGGGGCTCTACATACATATGCAAATTGTTTCTTGCGAATTAAGTGAGGCTGCCCCGCTCTCTGCATCCATTGATGGCACTTTTTGGCAAGCTGGTACAAATAACTTCTCGTGTTCCACGACCAACAAGCCACCTTCCGAGTCTGACGAGCGAGGAAGAGGGAGGGAGAGAGAGAGAGAGACGGCAACGTCTCAAGCCAAACATGAGTCCAAAACAAAATTTTGTAGGCAGCTCAGCGACTGCGTATCATAAATTAGAAACAAAATATGCTCATGTCTTCGTGAGTAGACAAAAAGTGGCACACGGATTGGTTTGGACGAAAAGAGAGTCTCATAGGAACATTACAATAATATTATGTCAGTAATTCGGCCCGGCTCGCACTGATGTACAGGCACACGTACAGCTCCCACTCCACCAGCTCCGCCCCCTCCTCCCCCTCCTCCTCCTCCTGCTCCGTTAACTCCCACTCCTCCACAGCCATTTAGCAACCGGTTCGCATGAGCAGACACAAGAAACTATCGATTCGTTTGGGTATGCAAAGTGTCGGACGACGCGACGGCTGCTTTGTAGACTTTTGTGGCCGTGCTCCCGGTCCGACATTGTGTGGGGTCAAAAAAATAATTAATTTAAAATTCCCGCGGCGCACACCGAAACGACACATTGAAAGCTCTTAAAGGCCCAAATTACGACGATTGTACCAGAAACAAATGAAAGAGGCACACAATAACAATATTTCTGACACATTTGCTGTTTGTAATGCGATTGTCAACGGCAACTCTGACGACAGCCGAATTCGGCACTTCGATCGGTCTATGGCATACGCGTATGCCAGGCATGAACCCCATCAAAGACCTACACATGTATTCACATCGCAGACATAAATTAAATAATATATACACGCAGAAATACATATACCTAGCCACATAGACATGACCGAACAGAAGCTCTTTAGTCATTGTCTGAGACATGCGTAGCCATAAATATAAATCGAGTTGGACTCTTTGTTAGAGTTCATTATGCTTATCCACTACATGAGATGGCTGGATCCGTCAGTCTGTCTACTCAATGGAATTTCGGATTTTAGTATAAATTCCTCCTCCTCCATCCCTAAATCCTTTGAATGTGAATCTAATATATATACCACCCGTCGAGTGTCATATCATTCAGCTTATGTCATGCAGTCTCATTGCATTTAGCTACTGCCATAGATTCGCTAAAAGACCTAACTTAAGAGCATTTATATTCCAGTGAAGCATATGTGTATTATAATTTCTATTTCGTGAGCAATAAGGATATATATTTCCAGAAGTTTCATATTATTCAATCTTTACCATTGATGTACATTACATCGAGTCTTGTAGCATTCAGCTTTTGTCATGCAGCTTCTCCTACTCAAGTTTCAAGTTTTGTTTTTGCTACATACCCTAGAAGAGTTGGCACACAGTTTCAGACGAATTCATGTGGCTATGCTTGTTTTCCGAACGAATATGGTCAATATTTCCATAAGTTTTAGACAGCAGCTTCCAGCGAGTCTCGTAGCATTCAGCTTTTGTCATCCAGCTGCCTTAACTCAAGTTTCAGGTTTTGTTTTTGTAACGTTCACTAGAAGAGTTGAGCACAATTACTTAATTATTCTTAAGACTACGCCTTGTATTTAGCGAGCAGATTCTGATCAATATTTCCACAAGTTTCATAGATGTACCGAGTGTCATAGCATTCAGCTTCTGTCATGCAGTCTCATTGCATTTAGCTACTGCCTTAGATTTGCTAGAAGACCTTAATTAAGACCATTTATATTTCTGTTTATTATAATTTCTATTCCGTGAGCAATAAGGATACATATTTCCACAAGCTTCGCATTATTCAATCTTTGGCATTGATGTACCTTACATCGAGTCTCGTAGCATTCAGCTTTTGTCATGCAGCGTCCCCTACTCGAGTTTCAAGTTTGGTTTGTTGCCGCATCGCCTAGAAGAGTTGGCACACAGTTTCAGAGCTATTTATGGGGCTATGCTTGTTTTATTAACGAGCAAATTATGGTCAATGTTTCCACAAGTTTTATTAAGAACTTTTCAGTGAGTCTCGTAGCATTCAGCTTTTGTCATGCAGCGGTCCCTTTTCTAGTTTTAAGTTTTGATTTTGCCACATTCTCTGAAGAGTTAGCGAGTCTCATAGCATTCAGCTTTTGTCATGCAGCTGCCTTCACTAGTTTTTGCCCCAATGACTAGAGGAGTTGGCCCATAGTTTCAGAGGCATTCATGGCATATTCCACATATTCCACATTCCATATTCAGAGGCATATTCCACAAGTTTAATTAATGCACCTTCCAGTGAGTCTCATAGCATTCAGCTTTTGTCATGCAGGTGTCCGAACTCAAGTTTCAGGTTTTGTTTTTGTAACGTTCACTAGAAGAGTTGAGCACAATTACTTCATCATTCCTCAGACTATGCCTTATATTTAGCGAGCAAACTCTGATCAATATTTCCATATGTTATAGATGTACCATCCATCGAGTGTCATATCATTCAGCTTCTGTCATGCAGTCACAGAGTATTCTTCCATAAATTCGCTAGAAGAGCTAAACTAAGAGCATTCATATTTCTGTGAATTGTGAATATGTTTTCTATTTCATGAACCATGAAACATTATCCAGTCTTTGGCATTGATGTACCTTTCATTGAGTCTTGTAGCATTCAGCTTTTGTCATGCAGCTGCCATAACTCAAGTTTCAGGTTTTGTTTTTGCCACATTTACTTGAAGAAATGGCCCACAGTTTCAGAGGCATTCATGGGGCTATGCTTGTTTTCTGAACGAGCAAATTATGATAAATATTTCCACAAGTTGTATTAAGCACCTTCCATTGAGTCTCGTAGCAATCAGCTTTTGTCATGCAGCTGCCTTAACTACATCTTTGTGGATTTCTATATATACTTTATAGAATTTCGGTTTTTATTATTTTTATTATTGTGCTACTCTACTACCATTGTTATACTTCTTTTATCGTACTATTATACAATAACCTTCTTAAATACACCACTCTAAACCATTGCAGATAGACCTATTGTGATTCAATTTTATATTCAAAAAGTTCGCAAAGTCTATTTCCTAAATTGCCCTCAGTTTATGTCCAGAAATAAAAGATAACTGTGACAAGTCTTTTAGGGCATTTTGAATATATAAATGTGTCTACATAGATGCAACACTTTGGACGAACGAGCGGTACGTTTTGATGTGGCCAGTTAAGTACGGGCATTTACGCTGTCCGGTCTCCAAGTGCGGACCTCTGCAAATGGAAATGAACCTTAAGTACTTTCCCCAAATGCTCTGCCGGGCATCCTTCCTTGGTCGCATGCCTAACAATGTGATAGCCCCAACCGACGACGTGTATTCAATTAAGTCGGGAGTCGCGAGTCGCACGTTGCAAGTCCGAGTCGAAGTCGCAGTCGCAGTCGCAGTCGCAGTCGAAATGGCAACAGTGTTAGCTCGTTTGATAAACGCAACTCGTAAATCATCGGCGAGGGCTGAGAGATCCCCCTTGAAGTACCGCTTTGGCTGATGTTGGCCACGTTTTCGTAGGCAGGTGCGGAAAATTACTTTTTATATGCTCCCTTTTAGTGGTTTATTATGACAAAAACAAACGCGAGGCCAAATTTGAGCGCACATGCGAACGGGCGGGACGGACGGCACATGCGCGACGTCCAAGCCAAGAAGTGTTCGCCTCTCTCACTCTCTCGCTCACAGTGCACGGGGTAGGGCCGATAAAGACACAGACAGAAAGCGCTATAAGCGCTATAAACATCATAAAACAGCTATAAAGAAGCCAAAACGAACAGAGAGAGAGAGAGAGAAGAAAACAAACAACCGCTAGCTGCACAACATAAATCATCAAATTGTTAGGAAGATCCATTATAGCCCATTACCAACGCCAGCTAACAGCCAACAGCCAACAGCTAACAGGCAACAGCCTACACCTGAGCTATCGTCATTATCATCAGCATTGTCATCATCATTCGCCATCAGCATTATTAAAATGCCGTTTTGCTTAATTTTATTTTATTGTTTTTAAGAAAAATTCAACCACAAATACCAAAGGTGCTCAGCCAAAGAGTCTCAACTACGAAACACCATTCCACTAATCGGGTGGTCGCGCGGACACACATACAGAAGACGAAGCAGAAGAAGAAGAAGAGGCAGCAGCAGCAGCAGCAGCAGCAGTAGCTGGGCCCAAAGCGACATCAAATACTCTAACAAGACGCTAACGAACACAATGAGTAGCAGGCGAATTCAAATTTATGAATGTGAATGAGATACGCCAAAGATACGAGATACCAGGTTCGACTTCCACTTTGACTGCGAGACAGAGTCGCCTGAGTCGCCTGAGTCGCTGGAGTCCGTCCACTCCCAGAGCCGTAGCTGACCGACCGGGTGTGCACGTCCGTTTGTCGAGCGGTTCGCTTAGCGTTTCCTTGGAAGTGGAAATGAGTAATATTTTTTTGTTCTGTGTGTAAGTTATTCAATTTTGTTTTTTAATTAGATTTGGAGGCGTTGATAATGGAGGTGGATGATAAAGCTAATGCGTGTCATGCCGGGCTACTGTTCAGCGGGCGAGCACACTCACAGTTTATGAACAATGAAAATATTAATAAGCCTATTAATGATCTGCTCGAAACACGGAAATACATACCGCCGCATAAGGCGTTGCTGCATGCACATATATGTCTGCATATTATACCAAAAACAATTTAATGAATGAACATTTTTTTTCTTCGCATATTCGTATGCCTTCTGCCTTCTGCCTTCTTCTACAATATATATATATATGTATATAGCCGTAAATATCGCTTATAAAGTCAGCTGAGTTGCATTTTCGGTCAGTTGATTCATTTTCAGCATAGCTGGCGAAAATTTCGAATTGTGAATTGTGAATTGAAAGCCAATCCGATATTAATTCATATCATTTCTGACCTCTTTACCGAGAGTCGAAGTCCTCTTCTTCTTACCTGAGCATAAGTGATCGAGGCTTGTGTGACTATTTTATTACTCATCTCCATCTGGATTTCCTAGAGCACAGGGCACAGCTGCCGATGCGCCAAAAATAGAAAATGGACCTAGGTGCGGCCGGCGGGCTCTTTCTTCTTTGATAATGATTTGGGTACCCAATGAAACCCCAAAGAGCGCTTATCTAGATCACATCTACTAACGGCCGCGCAGCCGCCGTCAAAGTGTCTGCCGGAACGGCTTCTGTCCCGCCAGCGTGACGGACTGCCGCACTCTCGCACTGCCGGAGGTCTTCTCTGTCGACTCGCTCTCGCTCTCGCTCTCCCTCTCTCTCGCTCGTCTCATGGTAGATTGGGGAGCGTGCAAGTGCTGGTGCGTAGATGTTCAAAGATTGTTAAATGATACTCAAACAGCAATTTGGAATTTATTTGATGCGATATTAATCGCCCCGGACAAGGGTTACGCATTGTTGTAAAAACACACCTTGCCTTCGTTTATTCACTTAGCTCGAGTTCGAAATGAAATTCTTGCGCGCTCTTTCGATATTGCTGTCTCTTTCATTCAATTTGTATATATTTAAATATGTCTCTCTCTCTCTCTCTCTCTCGCTGTCTTTCACTCTCTTCATATGTGTAAATATATTTTCTTTGTATCTAATTTGTTTCTCATTATTATCGTTATCATTATTAACTAGTCTGAAAATCCTTCGGCTTCCTTCATTCCTTCTGGTCCCTTGCCGCGATCCGAAAGGCAACTGACTTTACTTGTATTCATTTTCTATCAAAATTAGTTAACTTTTAGCTCTACTTCTAGACTATACTTCAGGTATATTCTGAGCACTCTGACTGCATATTCTATAGATTCCCTTTGATTCTTGCTATAGAAACACTAAAACTTGCTAAATAGCTGTGTTACTACGTCGTGCTTTTGCATATGCATTACTATTTAGCTTTAGATTCGCTGTCGAGTTTTATGCAAAGCAAACTACAGTCGACCCCTTTGGCCCACTGACGACCCGCTTGACTCGTAATCGGAACTTTTAATGCGTCCAAATGTTTAACAAATTGTGAGCGATGCGACAAGGCAGGATTGAAAGGCTTAATGAGCTGCGCTAGTGTTTCACATTTTCATTTATAACTATATTCAGTCAAACTATATATACATATGGATCTATATAGATATATGTATTTATAAATGAACACATGTTCGGTTTGCATTGTCTGCGGACAGTTTTGCATACATTTTGCGGCGCCCAATTGGCAATTCAGATGGAAGCGGCTAACTATGTGCATATATATGTATATGTATTGTCTATATAGTGTGTTAATGTGTGTGTGTGTGTGTATGCGCATACATATGCATATTTGGGGAACACATGTCAACATTCCATGAACACATGTACCAAGTTTTACACATACACGCACCGAGCAGCTACATGCATGGATACATGTATATATCCACATGCAGATTACAGTGGTTGGGCAAAGAGAGAGAGAGAGAAAGCGAGAGAGTGTGTCTGTATGTGTGCGTGTGTGTGTGTAGTGGGTGGTCTCTCAATTAATTAATTGCCTTTGCCAATCTATGGGTGTGTATGTGTGCGTGTGTCTGGCATTTGGGCAAACTGCAATTAAAACACTTACTAGCAAATGTGTCTGCATTGTGCGTGTAGGTGCGCGTGTGTGCGCGTGTGTGTGTGCGTGTTGAAATAATGGTGTGCGAACACAAACACTGCGCCAGCGGCAAAGAGGTCGCCACTCTACACAAATAGTTTGTGACCTTTTGGTTGTTTTACAAACAAGCCCCCAAACAGTTTGGCTGCCCGTTTCGCGCCTCAATGTCACACGCCTATGTTGCTGCTGTTGTTGTTGTTGCTGTTGTTGCTGTCATTATTGCTTGTGTTGCTGCTGATGCTGCCTCTGCTGCCTCTGCTGCCTTTGCTGCCTCTGCTGTTGCAGCACAAGAATGAAAACCAAAAAGACGCCGGTGTTTGGAATTGCAAATTGCCAACGGCCGGGGCCGTCGCGTCGCGTCGCGTCGCATCGTTGAGTCCAGGCCCATTTTAATTGTTTACATTTTATTTAGCTTTCAGCGCTTATAATTATTAATTTCACTGACTTCACTTTCCGCTCTACCCGCCCCCCAGCCAAACTCTTTCTTTGTCGTCTCTCTCAGCCCCAGTTGTGGGTGTTGTGTTATTGGCTTTTGCGAATGCAGCAGAAATGTATGCAGCAACAGCAGCCAGCAACAGCAGCAACAGCAACAGCAGCCAGCAACAGCAACAGCTCAGCCAGCACCGGCACAGTGGGAGTTGCAAGCGCAGCCATTTGCAGCAGTGCAGCCACAGCTGAAAGCTAAAGCAATAAACAAGCTGGTTTATGAAAATAAAGCCGAGCATTTTATACACTTTAATATGCATACACAGACTGATTGCAGCCAGTGTTTTTTCCACTTGTTCGTTTGCTCAAATCCGATTTACGTCTACAGCGAATGCACTTTATTTGTGTAGCTCGATTGAGATATGATAGAGATTGTATATGGAGTGAGAGAGATTTTATATAGCGCGAGATCTGACTGAACTGGATTCCAGCCCATGAACCAGATTTGGAAACTAGCTCTTGCTCGCTTCATTGAAAGGAATAAATTTGCAATGGATTAGATCTAGCTAAGACTCCATATAAGAAATCACATTTCGAATCGATTTTTGGTTTACTTTCTCGTTTGTGAACTAAATTTTAGATTCAGTTTAGTTTTTTGTTGAGATGTGCAATAGAACCAGCTAGGCCATTTCCCCAATAGCAATATTAAAAGCAATTTATTTAGGATTGGACCTTCGTCACTAAAGTAACTCTACATTCGCACACAGATAATCTTATATTAAGCTTCTCTATAATCATATTTCCTTTTATCCACACTTTTTCCAGGGTAACTTAGGCCTAGCAAACCCCACATATACCACTAAAATGCCAATCAACTCGCTGCATGAGTGCTGGAAGACTACACAGTTGGAGGCAACGTCGTCAGTTTCGTTCTTTATTCATTGCGGGCAGCGCTGCACGCGACTTCTGGATCAGACTCTACTCAGGGCCGATGTCTAGATAGAGCTGGAAGAGTCTGAGTCAAAGAGTCGTAGATTGTCGACACGAAACGGACTATCACTAACCACTTTTGAGGCTGTCCACCGTTAGGGCGTACACGACTATATCTGCTGTTTGCTATGCACACAGCCTGTGCCTGTGTGAGAGTCGCAGAGGAAGGCTCAACTGCTCAAGTGCTCAAGTGGAACCGGAGCTTACATCGTGTTCTAGCAGCAACTTAGGTGATAATTGCGCCTCCATTATCAGCTTTTGGCGTGAGAGACCAAATAGGACATGACTGCTTAATGTACTTATTAAAATTTCAGATGCTTAGGCAAACGTATTACCCATATATACTAGTGTCTATGTTAATGTTGGATTAAAATAGTTATCGTGTCTAGCGAAACACAATGGAAGTGTCTTAAGCTGTTATTGCGTGTAATTATTTTGGATTTTAAATAATTTTAATGATCTACAAACTTTAGTTGTAGGTGAGATTATTTAGATAAATAGTATGTATGTATATATATATGTCCAAATACCTAACTCTAAATCACGCTCAAAATTCACTTCAGTTTATGCATTTTTTGTTTATAATAAGTATCATAAATGGAGTTGTAGTGCCATATAATGTCTATATGGTCACAAAAGTCTCTCATACGGATCGAAGAGAATATACTTTGTTGTCTCTGCTGACTTTGACTGTGACACACTGCGTTCGCTGTTGGCTGTTGGCTGTACGTGATTACAGCGTGTTTGCTCAGATTTGGGCGGAAAACATGTGTAGCTCGACTGCTAATGTTAATGTCGGTTGTAGAGCCGGGTGTGTTGCTGCCGTCCTGCATGCGAATTAGAAATTAATTCGCCCTTGAATGAATATTAAGTACAAGCGCTGAATGTCAGCTTGCGTTTGCCGCGTGTGCAACTGCATTTGAGTTTCAGCAAGTGGCGGTGCTCATGATTTATAGGGCTCAAAGAACTCCCCGAGCACTCAATAGGGACATTCCATTGATGTTCCTTGTCCCCTAGAGAAAGGGAAAGGGAGAGAGCGAGAGGAACCGTAACGCTTTGCTGTCAAGCGCGTTATACTTTCGGTGCGTTCCCACGGCATTTTACATAAGAAGTGGGCTGCAGTTAGAGAGCGAGCGAAAGAGAGAGAGAGAGAGAGAGAGAGAGAGAGAGGCACCTGGGCAATGGACTAAGAGCACCTAATTTAACCGGGAAACGCAACTCAACCATTTGGCAATTAACAGTTTTATTTCTATGAGCCACAAACAATGTTACCGCTGCTACCATCCGCAGTGCCAGTAGAAGTGGCAGTAGCTATGCCAGTGGCAGCTACTCGGGCTCTTACTGCTGCTGGTGCTGCTGCTGCTGCTGTGGCAGTGGCAGCGACTGTGGCTGTGGCAGTAGCAGACTGGCGCGCGTTACGCCTCCATTACACCTTGTTGCAGTTGTTACGCAGTAATTTTATGTCTTTTCTCGGAACAAAGTCATACAAAACGGCGCGGAACTGCCTTCCATCCAAAAGAGACTCTTGACTTTGACGTTGTCGAGGCGATAATTGCGTGTTTAACTTGATAAGAGGTCTGATCTTTGCCTCCAGCCATTCGCTTGAGCGACATACTAAAGAAAATTCATCTTGCCAACTGCAGTTGGTAATTTCTCAACTTTTTCA